CCTAACAAGTAGTCTGAAGTTTGTATTAAAGCTAACTCTGGTTAATTACGTTTGGCCAATTTTTAGAAAGTTTACACATCTACCACATTGGAATGTAAAACATTTATGTACCCACAGAACTGTGGCACAGCTTAAAGAATAGTGTAGTGGGCAAACATATAGATCTGAATTCAAACTCAAAGTTACAATGCGACTGTGGAGCATCCCTGAACTTAATTTCTTGATCCGTAAAATGGAAATAATACCCACCCACCTTACTGGACTGTTGTAAAGAATAAGGTGTACTGGTATATAAGGGTACCAAGTGCAATGTCTGACATACAGCAAATAATCAATAAATGTTATTGTTTTACTCTCTGCTAGAAAGTAAAAACCATATCTTGTCATTTTTATATCCTTCAATATGGCTTTAGTAGGTACTCACTAAATGTTTCTTTAAATGAATCTCTATAAATTTAAGGCTAACTACTTCAACATCCACTTGAGCAAGTCACCTCTACTAAATAAATTCTGCTGAGAATGGAACTTCAGATTCCCAGCACTTTATCAGGCATTTTGATGGAGATGAATCCCCATTAATTGAAAAGGTAACTTTATTAGTATGTTAATATTTGGGTCTGAATTCTATAAAATTTGCCAACATTTTCATTTTGAGATTCTTCATATAGTTTTAATTAATCCAGTTTCCTTGAAAATAAACTTTAACTTCTTTGGCCTCACAAAACTAGCTCATTAAGTTTCCTACTACATTTCAAATTTAAAAAAGAAAAGAAATTGTCAATTAATTTTATATTTCTAAATAGCCTATTTTAATTTTTACTACAGTAAATAAATGTTCTTCCTTACACTTTGAAGTCTCTAGCCATCAAAGTTCGTGTGTAAACGTTACTACATAGAAATATTATAGTAATTAACAAGACAAAGTACTGTGGTTTTAGATTTTCTTTGTTTTGTCTTCCTATAACCAAAGGTTATCAATAATCCAACTCCAGTTCAAGTACTAAAGTACTGCAAATTCTGCAATATAATTTGAAAAATAATTTGAAAATGTTAAATATATAATGTTTCAAAATAAACATCAATTTCATTAAAAATAGGTAACATGTAACTTTCAGAGTGAAACAAGTATTCCTGAGACAAGATATGGCAAAGTAGCAGTTATTAACTACTAAACATAAATCTTCAAACTTGGGACATAAATTACAATTTAAATACTTAAAATAGCTTGGCAGAGAAGCATTAAGATCTACATACTAAATGACCTTTTAATTTAAATAAATTCAAACTTAGAAGCTTTTAAAAAATTGGTTCTACCAGCAAGTTTGATAAATATTTAGTTACTATAGACTAGTTTCTTGACCCAATGAAATAATAAAATGTTTGAATAGATGGAAGTGCCTGGTGAGGCAAATTTTATCACCATTTATCTTAAGTGCTGATATAATTAATCTCAATTATTTTAATAAACATTATACAGTTCAAATGCATTAGAAATGGGAGTCAAATACACTAAGAAAAATGCCCTGGGTATATATGATAACCTATAAGGTAACACTTAATAAAAACTATTCTTTTTCTGGGTTACATTTTAATTTATTTAAACTAAAGACTTTAGATATTTCCTTACTTTGGTCCCATTTTTAAAACAGTCATATTTAAAATGTCTTATTTCTCTAACTTGCTTCCTTGTTATTGTCAAAACTGATTATTACTAAAAGTTCCCAAACGTTATATTTTAATTCACATAAAAATGTTTTCAGGCCCAGTGTCTTTCATGCCTACTGTCTATAAAATACAAATTAGGATGCCAAATATTATATAATTCTGAAGCCACACCAAAGCTCCTGTCATTTTCGTGTGTGTGTGTGTGTGTGTGTGTGCGCGCGCGCTCCAAAGCTCCTGTCATTTTCGTGTGTGTGTGCGCGCGCGCGCGCGCGCTCTGAATAGGAACCTATTCATATTTTAAGATTAGGCAATGGAATGCATTTCCGATTGTGCCTCAAACAAACTTCATTTTAAAAGCTCATGTAAATTAATAAAACAATAAATTTCATTCATTTCGCAAATGTGGTATGCTGTAAGACCTCCTTATAAAAAGCTAGGAATTTAAAAACTATATAGCAACATATTCAATTATACGAAATTCAGCTTTGCATTTCCAGAGGATTCCAAGTTTGCAACAGTATATTGGTATATCTTGCTGAAATCTCTATTTTTGTGGAGGAAATATCAAGTATTATAATAATACTTTCAAACCTACATCTTGCACTTACACCTTGCGTATGCAGAGATCTATTGAAAAAAACATTTGAAAGGCAAAAAAAAAATTAACAGTTGCAATAATTTTGACATCAAGAATCAATCCTTCAGTGTCTAAACTCAGTCTCTAAAAAAAAAAGTAACTGTCCAACGCACTAAAGAAATATAATTATGACATTTTTTTCCTTCTCTTAGAAGTCTATAAGACGACTACATTAAAACAAGTCAAAGTAAGTTTAAGTCAAAAAAACAGGCATGAAATTTTAATCCAGATGTAAACATCTCTGGAAAACTCCAAAGTAATGAACACTAGATCCAACAGGGTAGCGTAGAGCCCTAAAAACAAAAATCGTGCCTCCACGATCAGATACTTAGCTGGAAATGGGAAACAATAACATTGCTACTGGACACGGACTTAACTAAGGGACCCCATCAGCTCTCCTCTCCTGCAGGCCTGCGGTGCCCAGCATTTTCCCTGAGTCGACCGCCCTTCTCGTTTGTAAACAACTTCTGTAGCTTTTTCTCGGGTGGTCAAACGAGAGGGAAAATGAAAGTCCGAAAAGCAACAGCATCTAAGCTTCCGAATCTGAGCACGGGAGTCGCTGAGAAGGGGGGGAATCCCATATATCACTTAGTAAAAATAGAAAGGAAAAAAAGGTAGCCCTCGAATTCGAGAAAAGAAATACAGTCACCTGAAGAGGTTGGTGAAGTAAAGCCAGCACTTAGTAAGACACGTTTTTTAAAAAAAAACAAAACCAACAAAAAAACAACAACCCACATACACACACAAACTTGTCTGGGGGCTGGAAGTTATGGGGCGCTCTTTGTGCGAAGTCGGAGGGGAAGGGGAGGGACGAGAAAGAGCTCGGGAGTCATTCAAAGGAGTTCGAGCAGCGGAGTGCGGCGCGGGCGGGGCG